CAAAACAAAACCAAAAACAAACGAACAAACAAAAACAAAACAAGCAAAAAAACCCCCAACAAAACAAATAAAAATAATAAAATAAAATAAAATAAAAAATGCGCCGTTGTCCCAAGTGGATTCAAGTTTCTGGGTTTTATTTTTGTCTTCTTGAGGAATTTAAAGTCAGCCCAAAACTCCAGGCGGGGCGGGGGGGACAGGGAGAGGAGGTACAGCAGGTATAGCAAGGTGCCCTGCAAAGGCAGAGAGAGACCATCCCGGGTGAGGAGCCCGAGCCCTGGCTATCCCACCCCACCTCATCCCACCCCATCCTCCCCTCCAGGCCCAGGATTTAAAGCCAGCACGGGAATACCCCGTTTGAGCAGCCCACCAGCCCACTGCAGGCTCACCTTAAAGAGAAGTCAGCAAGCACGCCCGGCGGGTCAATCAGAAGGATGCTCCGGGCAAGATCTGTTCACTTCAAACCATGAGTCTATACAGCTGTGAGAGGAGAGCGTGTCACCACTGCGCTGCTGAACCTCGGGTGTCCCCTCCTGTCCCCTGCCACCCGCCTGGCCACCCCCTCACGGTACCTTTTGTGATAAATGCAGAGGCAGGGCAGCCTGGCTATCGTGTCCCCCTGCAGCAGCTCCTCCAGGCAGATCACGCACTCGCCGGCATCCTTGGTCAGCACGTCATCTGGGAGGGGAGGGCAGAGGTTGAGACAGGGACCACCACAGCATTCCCCTCCCTGGGATGAAGGGGAACCACGGCCCTGCTGTGGGTGCAGCTGCCATGGGGCAGAATGGCAGCAGCACTGTAAAACACTAGCAGGAGGCTCAGGTGGAGGCACAGGGTCTGGGGCAGCTGGAGCAAACAAAGCCCCTACCACTGGTTTCTAAAAAATCACCACTGAGTAGGAGGTGAGCATCCCTCCCGCACCAGTGGTCAGGAGGGAGCGGGGAGATGCCAAGAGCCTGCAGCCCAGTGCTCAGCCCCATAAGTCTCCTGGTCAGTGAGGAGGGGAGGAAGGCAATGACCCCTCAGAGGGGCAGCCCAAGGGGACATGTGTCCTCTGCCCTCGCCAGGCAGGACACCCGGCCAGGAGGCTCCCTCTGGCACAGAGCAACCCGGGCAGGGGGCTGTGTTACAAAGGAGTCTAAAAGCAAAAGCAGCAGAGCTGAGCCATGCCAGGGGAGCAGAGTGGAGCAGGGAAGGGGAGCAGCACCATCCCGCTGGAGAACAGCCCTCTTGGCAAGCCCAGCTGAGCTGCCTGCCTGCAGCAAGTCTCTCCAGCCTGCCCAGAGTCATCCCAAGGGGTAGGATGCCATTTCCCCCACAGAGCTTGGCCCTTACCGTTGTAGGAGAGGCGAGGTTTGCTCAGACACATGATAAAGTGCATTTCCATCTCGTCAGAAGCCACAGATTTGGAGCAAATGGGGCACTTGAAACCTGGAGGGAGAGCAGAGACGAGCCCTTAGCAAGGGCAGCAGGAGTCGTCCACCCTGCATCCCAGGGAATCCCCGAGGCCATGGTGGGGCAGGGCAGCCCCTCACCTGCCGCCTGCATGGTGACCCTCACCCCACGCAGCGCCCGCTGGGCACCTGCTCATCCTGTGCTGGTGCAGGGACAGCCACCGGACAGGGCACAGCCACCCCAGCCGGCGCTGGTCGTCCCCGAGCCCGCGCACAGAGGGCACGGAGAGAGTGCCAAGGCAGTGCACACGTGGCCATCAGCTGCTGCCAGGCCTTAAAGGGCAAGTAGCAGCCTGGGGCATGCAGCACCCTGCCACTGGCAAGTGCAGGGGCACGTCCCCGTGCCCGGATGGTGCTGTCCCTGCTGCCAGAGCTCAGCACCGCGTGGTTAAGCCAGAAAAGCTGCAAGGAAGGAGGCTCTTTTGTAGGGCTGCAGCAGAGGACTGGCAGATCACAGCCTCAAACCCAAATCACTGCTCTCTCCAGCTTTCTGCAGGAGTGAGGTGTGTGCTCACCCCTTCGACGCCAGCCAGCAGCCCCAGAACAGCAGGACCCTGCAGGCTGATGTCCCAGCTCGATCTTGGCTCTGCCTGGTGACTCAGGCTCTTGGATGGAGCTGGCTGGGATGCCCAGATCCGCATGGCAACCTTGTTTGGGCATGAAGGGGCCTGGCTGGTGCCAGGGTGTCACACCAGTGTCACCACCATGCAGACCACCACGGCATCATCCCCAGCCCCACCGACCAAGGCTGCCCCAAACCCAGGTTTCTAAGCTGCAAACTCCTAAGGAACACAACACCAACCAGTCCTACAGGTCACCCTCTCAGGACTCGTGTCCCCCCACTGCAGCCAGGTCGAGGCCATGCAGTTCATCCCTGCCCAGCAGAGTAGCAGGGCTCAAGCTGAGCGTGCCACCGCCACCACCACGGGTTTGCACCAGAACATCCAGCAATTCCCTGCCTGCAGAGAGGGAGAGGGTAATTTAAGGATCTGCCTTCTAAAAGCAGATCAGGTTTGACTGCAGCGCCGCTTAAGAGCTTTCTTCATATATATGCAAAGGCTGCTCAGGAAAGAAGAGAAAAGCAATGTACACAAATTATCTAAGGATGAATCAGGTTTTTGTTTGCCACCACGTGGATGTGGCCAGGGCATTTTTTTCTTGCTTCTTAGAAGGGAGAAAGTAGAGTGGCTTTAAGGGGAGGCAGCTCAGACCTACATGGTGCAATCAACCAGGGTAACTGCCCAACAGCTGTGTACCCACTCATTAGCAGTGGTGATAAATACAGATGACTTCCCAGCTCCTCAAATGAAAGCCTAGGGATGCCAATCCTGCCCCTCCAGAGGGCAGTTATTTCTCAGGAGGGCGCAGCAAGGATGAGTATCACGGATGGTGTTGGACTGGCCTAAAAGGCAGGACTCAGAGGACCTGCTAAAACAAGGAGCCCTCAAGCCCAGGGGTCTCTCCAGTGGGGTGTCCTGCTGTCCTGCAGCATGCCACTGCAGGGACACATCGCTGCCCCAGCCAGGCTGAGCCATGGGGTCTCTGCTGTGAGCCTGGCCCCATTTGCACCAAATCCCCGGTGACAGGGCAGCACTGGCAGCCAGGGCCTCGTGGGCAGCAGTACCAATCTGCCTTCTCATCTCCAGCCTAATTTTACTCCTGACCGATTTATACCTTGTGGCAGCCGTGCCCATTAGCTGAAATAGCTGTTTCTTTCCTCCTCCCAAGTGTTTACCCGCCCAGTGTATTTATAGCGCGGATAGCTCGGATAGCTCCCAACCTGCCTGCTGCAAGACCCAACTGGCCTCCCCCCTTGCGAGACACCCTCCCAGTGCCCCGCTCCCCTGGCAGCCCGCCTGCCCTGCCCCTGCCTGGCACGGATGGCTCCCCACACCGCAGGCACCAGTCTGGGGGAGCTCTGGGGACCGGCTTCCAGCGGAGAGTCCCTGGAACGGCTGTGAAGGGCTCCCTGTGGCAACGGGAACTCTGTGTCAGGGCAAGGCGTTTGTCGAGGTTCGGCACCGTTCCCTGTGTGCGAGGAGACCTCGTTTCCTCCGGTCCCCCCTTTTTCTGTGCCAATGTGTTATTTTAAACAGGCCGTCCCAGATCTGCCGGCTCCGGCAGCACTGAAGGCATCCTATGAGATGTGCAAGCGACGGGGAAGGAGAGGGCCCTGGATGACACGAACTGGTCAGCAGCTGCCAGGGCACAGCTGCTGGCAAATCAGCAGGGCCAGGCAAAAAGCAGGGCCCTTTGCAGGCTCTGGCACGGCTCCTGCCGTATCTCCAGGCCCCTTTGCTGGCTGGGATAGCTTTAGCACAGTTATAAATAGCCGGCATGAACGCTCCTCATGCTCCCCAGTGCTCCACGGGCAGCTGGCTGCGGGACTGGGGCTCCCGACACCGCCACGGCCCCGTGGCAAGGACATGGCGACATTGGGCAGACGGAGGGGCCCAGGCTCAAGCCCCAGCACGTGTGTGGTGTCCTCCAGACAGACAGGTCCGGGGGCTGAGACAAGTGCAGAAGCACACATACTTTTCTGGCTCTGCATTTCACAAGATGGGGGGGGTGGGGGGTGGAAAAAAGAAAGATGAAAATGCAATTGCATAAATTCCCAGGTTTGAGCAGGAGCGAGGAGACAGTGTGGAAAGGCCCCCGGGGCGGGGGGCTGCCCCACACCCCGGCTGTCAGCACCAATACTTGACATTGCGAAAGCAACTGCCTGCATTCCCCTCCAGCGGGAAGGGGGAGGCAGAGAAGGGGTGAACTCCCTCACCCCTTCTCCAGGTGACCTTTGGGTGGAGGTGGTGGACAGAAAACCGGTGAAACCAGCACCCAACAGCGGCAGGCACCAAGCCTGGGAGCATCCCTACACAGCTCGGGCAGGCGCTGCCCCAGCCAGTCCCGCAGATGAAGGAGCCGCTCCCCGCACGGCCGGCCCCCTTCAGGCCATGGTATTTTCCACATTCCCCGAAATCCCCGTTAATTTATCCTGCCTAAGCTGCCAGCCGGAGCAACGCAGGAGATTACATTTTGACAGCTGCTCATGGAAAATTCAGCTCCCTCCCTCCTCCTCAGAGCCCTTTCCATCCTCCTCCCACATGCCTAAAAAAAAAAAAGAGGGGAAGGGCCCAGCTATTCCTCCTTGCCAGGGCCTCCCACACCCAGGGGGAGGCCCAGGGTTTGCTCCAGGGAAAAATCATGGACCCTTCCTCCCTCCCAAGGCGCCCAGGGCAGCTGGTGACGCTCCTGACCATGGCACATTAAACCTGAAGCCGGCAGTGTCACCTCATGCAGAGATGTGTGGGCAGGCACCAAATCCTGCCAGGAGTGAGGAAGAGTAGGGTGCCACAGGAAGTGGGCTGGCCTCGAAAGGCAGGTTCAGATCAAGATCTGGACTCCTGTATCCTGCAGGAGACTTTGAGAAAGCCAAGGGCTTTCCAGGGCTGTGAGATGCAGGCATGTGATCTAATCTCTCCAATGGCTTGGTCTAGAAACCAGGAGCAAGCAGCGCTGGTGCTCTCCAGGGGCTACTGCCCTCTGAGTATTTTTAGGAAGGTTACACGGTTTATTTTAGAGAGCCAGGCAAAGTAGAGCTGGGAACCTCTGAAAACCTCCACCAGGTCCTATGCATGCTGAAGAAGCCTGGTGGTTAACCCTCGCTGTGCCAAAAGCACCACCACAGAGCTGCAGAGACTTCGGTGGCGGTGGGAGGGTCAAGACACCCTTTCCAACTCATCCCTAAACATGCCAAACAGAGCTGCTTCTGGAGCTGGGATAGGAAATTCCCATCACTTTACTGAGCACTACAAGGGGGTCAACCATGTGAGTGAGGTGGCTGCTCCCCTTGGGGGTGGGTGAGACCACGTCCATGGCAGCTGTAAGCCTGTCCCAGATTGCAGGGAAAGGCACGTCCACCTTCCCCTGCCAAACTCTCCACTAGCTTGGCGTGCCTCCAGGCAGATTGCTTCCAGGCTACAGTGCCATCATGACCCCAGCAGCAGGAAACCTGGGCTCTGTCACTGGCAGGTGGCTGTGGCACCTCCAGCAGTGGGAGGAAGATGCTGGTGGGGATGACATGTCCTGAAAGCAGGAGGAAGCAGCAGCCCAGGCACAACTCCAGCAACCCACCCCATTCAGAGCAGCATTCACCAAAGGGATCCCCATTTGCCAAAGAGATCTCTGGTTGCCCAGGCCCCCGTTACTGCCATGGGATAAACCAGGAGCTCTGTATATGGGAGCCTGCCCCAGGAGGAATCCCTCCTCTGATGTCCAGCCACCCCAGAGGACACCTGGAGCATCAGGGAGCTCAGGGTAAGCCCAGGCTGCCTGATGCTCATGGAAGATGGGGAAACCTCAGCTGCACAGCCCACCTCCGTGTCTCCAGAGAGCATCCTGGGCTCCCAGCCAAAGGAGCTGGGCTTACACCAGGTGAGGATGCATCCAAGCATGAGATAAACACAGGGAATATTTGAGCCAAGCATGCAGTCCTGGTGCCTCCTCCCTGCTGAATAGATCCTGAGCATCTCACCTCCTCCCATGGCTTCCCTGACATTACCAGCTGAACCGGCACCAGGTGGAAGCTGGAAGAGGTGGATCATCCTGAAAAAACCTACGTTACTGACTGAAGACTGAAAGACCATGTCTATGGGCCCTGTTGGTCAATCTGAAGCCAAAGCAGGAGCCAAGGCCCACCACAGCCCTGCTGCCCAGGCAGGACTCAAGAACCCCCCAACGGTGCTGGGCTATTGTGTAGTGTGAGGGCTGACACGAGCAGGGACACGTAGGCAGGAAAGAGTAAAGCACTTAAGCTGTCTCATTTGCCAGCTTTGAAAAAGCCAGCGTACTTCCTCCTGAGTCAAGGCTGCAGGAAGGTGGGAGAGCACAAAGGACATGTCCAGGGTGGAAACCAGACATCCCACCTTCCTGGGCATGGAAGGGAGGCAGGGACAGGGGATGCCAGTGAGCCAGCCCCAG